TTCCAAAGGAAGTATTTTTGCCAAATATAATCTCCTCTCCCCCCCAAAAAAAGGGTTGGAGACTCAAATGCCCTTATTTACACTGTAGATAGTAAGAACTTATGGTATAGATACACTATGGAATATTACTCAAAACAAATGAAACCCTGTCTTTTGCAACAAAATGGATGCAACTGGAAACCATTATACTTAGTGAAATAAGCTAGTTCCAAGAAGATAAATAACAAATGTTTTCCCTGAGCTGTGGTAACTAACATAGTACCTAAAATGTAATGTGTTGGGGTGAAATTGACATTTTGAGATTCAGTGATTGTTACAACCCTTGTCTCTACTGTTTAAGAACAGTGTTTTTTCCTTCATACTATTTGTTGAACTCTTTACCTAGTATAGGGTTAATCTTATGAGTAGAAAATAAACTGAAAATAGATCTTTGTAAAAATCAAGAGTGGGAGTAGGAGAGGGAGGAGGAAGAAGGGTGGGAACATGAGCAGGAGGGAGGGCAGGGTGGGAAGTATCACTCTGTTCCTAAATCTGTATATATGAATACTTAAATATGTATACCTTAAATAAAATTTTTAAAAAAGGTCAAGAGGAAGGACATTAAGGTGGGATTCATAGAAAGGATTTCCTTGAAGAGAATTGTGAAGAGACTCACCTGTTCTCCTTGGTGAAGGTCACCTCCAGATCTTCAGAACTGCTTCAACAGCAGTGCCAAGAGGACATGGAATGTGTTCCACCTGGGAGACCCTGGCCTGGGAACACTGCAGTGACACAGGGGGCAGTTTTGCTGAAAGTAACTGCACACACCGTCAAGGACCATCCAAGGGCTAAGTCTCCCAGGGGCCAGATGAAGACTGGAGCAGGAGTGTTGGCCTGGGGTCACAACAAAGGGGCCTTCGACCTCTGTTCTGGCCTTCATGAAGCAACAGATGTCAGATGTACCTTTCTATGATAAACAACTGCAAAATTGGACAAAGTGCAGGGGACTTTTGTCATAGCCATTAGACTAGAAAGCACACAGAACGCAGGAAGCTTCATGTGGGTTGGTTTCCTCTGGCCAATCTTAAGCTGAGCATCCAAAATGAGGTTCCCTCAGATTCAGTAGGGAATAACCACTTGGAAGCTGTGGGACAGATGGAGATTTCAGAGGTTGCAAAGATTTGGGAAATGTTGGAATTCTGACCAGATGCATTGTTGGAACCTCTGCAGAACTGCTCAATAAAGACTTCAGAGTGACCTCTGCTGAGGAAAAGGACTGTTTAGAAGCCACCAAAAAATTTTCAGAAAAGAACTGGAGAGTAAATATGTCAAGCTGAGCTTACTGTTGGGCAAAATGTGCTTATATAAACTCTGACCTGGCCCCTCCCTGTTTGCTTTGTGTCCGATCAACTACCTTGGGAGGTAACATGATTTGTGCTCAGCTGTCACCAGCTTGAGACTCTTTTGGATGAAAAATGACCCACCCAAGAGGGAGGGGTGGTGGGCCAGGTTGGAAGGTGGGAGGGTGTGGCCACCCAGGTCAATTTCTTTCTCAGTCCCAGCAACACCCAGATCCTGGGGTTTCTTCTCTCCTCCTGGAGGGTGTGGATGTCTCAGGTGAGTCACCGGTTCAGGACATGTTTCTTCCATTCAGTGCAATGCCAGAGAGAGCAGCTTTTGGGAGCAAAGAACAGAACTGAGTGGAGGGACACCCTCCACCCCCAGCTTGATTCTGCAGCCCATAGGACCAGCCTTGTGGCAGTAAACAACAACATGGTAAACTGAGCGTGGCCTTTGGGCTGTGGGTGCTCACCCCTGCCCTTGAGGCAGAGCTGTTCTACATATACCCAACAAAGCCCCAAGTCAAATTTCAATAGGCTCAGATTCTGTTGTCAGCAAAATATTTGAAGGAAAAACTACATATTTGAAGAAATAAGGACTGAACATTCTATAAATCTGATGGAAATTATTAGCCAACAACTCCATGAAATTCAGTAAATCTCAAATGGGAAAAAAGGATCCTGTCAAAAAGGCAAGGGAACATAGTGATTATGTTTGTAGGGTATATCACTGGGGCCAGTAGCTAACCAGTGGGAACAGCATTACCTGCAGGAGGGAGCAAAGGGACCCTCAGTTCAAAAAATCCACAAAAGCTCCTAGAAGCAAAATGGCCATTCCAGAGTTTGAGATTCATTCATAAATCAACAAAATATTCCATCCCTTCTTAGCTCCTCCCCACCCCACTCCTTAGAAGCCCACTCATGGCACATGGCTGAGTTCTGGCCCAAAGGAAAAGGAAAGACTCTCACGGGCTTATCCTTACACCTAACTAAACAGGGAATGGGAAGAAGACTTACTACAACATCAGGGTTCCAGTTAGAGCCAGTGCTACCTAAACCTGCATGTGCACACTGAATGCCTGGAGATTTTATCAAAACATAGGTTCTAATTCTGCATTTCTTATGTATGTATGTATGCATGTATTTATCTATCTATTCCTTTATGTGAAAGGCAGAGTTAGAGAGACAGAGGAAGACACAATAAGCTCACAGGTCAGGTTAATAATGTTGGTCCCCAGACCACTCTCTGAATAATGAGGTTTAGATAAATATCTCGGCCTCAACATATTGTAATTACTGCACTGAGACTATGTTTGTGATGTGAAGCAACCACAGACTTACTAGATTTTAGGTGTGACCAGAAAGTCATGAGAACTGCTAGAGTTTTCAAGCTGGGATTAGCATAGAGAAGGATTTCCTGCCAAGCAGTGTTACAGAGATAATGGCAAATACCACTTAGTTTGTTGCATTGTTTATCCTGGTAAAAGGCACAATTTCTGTTAAATCTTTGAAAGCAAGAAAATACCTCCCTGTCCCAATTACATGGCACCTGTGATGGGTCATGTTAGGTCAACTTGGTCAGACCACAGCACTCAGATATTTGGTCAAACACCAGTCTGGATGTTGCTATATAGGTATTTTTTAGATCAGATTAGCATGTAAATCAGCACCCTTTGAGTAAAGCAGGGGGCCCTTCATAGGGCGGGGTAGACCTTATGTGTTCAGTTGAAGGCCTTAAGGAAACATGGAAGTCCCCTGAAGAAGTGAGAATTCTGCCTCCAGACTCAGCTGCAAGATTTACTCCAACATGTGCTTAGAACCTATCCTAAGGATTTGAGTTTTGCCAACCACAGAAATGCATGATCTTTAAACCTTCTCCATTTTGTATATAAATACTAGATGAATGAATGGATGATAGATAGATAGATATGATAGTGAAAGAGAAATGGAGATACAGACAGAGACAGAGAGACAGAGGTGGAAATGGAGAGAGAAAGAGAGGGAGAGAAAGATGATGAGGATGACGATGATGGTGAAGAAGTAGAAGACATAGATATTGGCAGGAACCATTAAGAGCACTATATCCAGGGGTCAGTGCTGTGATGCAGTAGATTAAAACCACAGCCTGCAGTGCCACATCCCATATGGGCCTTGGTTTGAGTCCCAACTGCTCCACTTCAGATTCAGCTCCTTGCTAATGTGCCTGGTTGGGGGTGGGGGTGGAGAGCATCAGAGCTCTTAGAGTTCCTAGAGCCCTGCAACCCATGTAGAAGGCCAGGAGGAAGCTCCTGGCTCCCAGCTTTGATCTGGCTTAGCCCTGGTTGGTCATTGTGGCCATTTAGGGAGTAAGCCAGCAGGTGCAAGATCAATCAATCAATCGATCGATCTATCTCTCCTTCTCTCTCAGTAACACTTTCTTTCAAATAAATAAATTTTTTTTTTTAAAAAAAGAGCACTCTAATCCATCAGGATTCTCCAAAATACATCTGAAATTGGTTCTGTTTTCTGGGGAACTCTGACCAGTAGAGTGCCCTTAAAGTCTGCTTCCCTCTCTCTGTTAAGTAACTCAAGGGCAAGACCCTAGAAAGCCCTCCAGCTGACCCCAATTTCAGTGCTCAGAACTTGTTTGCACATAGTCCATCCAAGTCCTGTCTCATTATGGCTTGGCACCCACATTTGCACTCTTGATAGCTCCTCTCTATAAGAATTCCCCTTGGCTTTGATTCAAAATGATGACTTTCAACTTATTCCCCACCATTTCCAGGGAACATGGAGATTCTGGAACTGAAACTTGTGATCACGTGTTCTGAGGCTTTTTAACTGGTTGTGGCCAAACTGAGTGAGGGCCACACAGCTCTGCCATTATCACATCCAGGGTGTGTAGACCATGTGGAACTCTGAGCTCCTATGTAGCACAGGCCAAGTGCCACCTAAAGGGACCCAGCATCACTGGACAGACTTCATTCTGGTATCCTGAGGATGTTTAAGGTGAAAATTGGGACTACATTTATATTGTTTTTTACACATCAGCACTGTTTCATGTCTATCCATGTCACCCCCACTAAATCTATGTTAGAACTCCATTGTCTGATTGTTGTTCCATGGTATCTTACATAGAAAATAAAAATATTTATTTATTTATTTGAAAGGCAGAACAACAAAGAAATAGGCAGGGGGTGGTGGAAGAGAGAGAGAGAGAGAGTCTCCCATGTTCTGGTTAACTTCCCAAATGGATGCAAAAAGCCAGGTCTGATCAAAGCCAGAAACCAAAAACTCCATCTGGTCTCCTACATGGATGACAGGGGGTTAAAGTACTTGGATCATTATCTGTCACCTTCTCAGGTGCATTATCAGGAAGCTGGATAAGAAGAGGAGCAGCTAGGACCCAAACCTGTACTCCCATACAGGATACTGGCATCACATTCAGTGGCTCAACCTCCTACACACCAACACCAGCCCTTAGGAAGCTTTTTTAACATAAAAATCTAATGGATATCTGTCTTTGGATATTATGAAATCTCACTCACTGAATTATTTTTAAAAACAAAGAAACACACTATTCAATTTAGTACCTAACAAAGATTTGGCAAAAACTCTACTAAAATGTTCATTCAATAGAATTCTCCTTATCCAAAGTCTCCCTGTGGAAGTCATTTAATTGTGTGTTACAAGTCTTCAAGGTGCTTAAGGCATTGAATGAATTTATTAGAGTCAATATAGAATTTTGAACGCAAATTCTTGATTTTATATTTACATACATGAGTGAAATCAAATATTTAAAAACCCAAGCAAAGTCACGGCCCTTAAAATGGCTTTTTTGAAGGCAGACAAGTCACTTATTCAAGATCTCACTGATATACACAAAGCAAGAGAATCCAATCCTTTAAAACAGTTCTCATTGACTTTGGCCATGTCACTCAGGCAGCACTCAAGTAAAACCCCACAAAGTCAGAACAGAATGTGAGACTGTATCTTCTCCCATGATTACCAATCCAAAGAAGAACTTGGAAGAGAGCCTAGACTTATTTTGCACATACGCAGACTGAGGCACAGAGGTGTGTGAGGTATGAACTGCTTTGGGGCCACAAGGCAGTTCCCTGTTGGCCCCTGCACCTCCTTTGTGACTCAGCCTAACTTAGCCCTGTCTCATGGAGAGGCAAATTTGCCACAGAAGATGATCATCTCAGAATGGATGTCCCTTATAAAGAACAGAAAGGGCTTATTCGCCATGAACTGGTATCGGATGGGCAGTCGTTTCACGGTGATGATGTCCCCGGTGGCGGCTGCCGCCTCAGTGCCTTCTTCGTTGACATCCACGTAGGATTTATGGATCACCTTTGATAGGTACAGACCCTTGGCTGACGACATTCCAGAAAGATCAGCCTTGCCCTGGTTGAAGATATCTGCCATCCCTAGGGATTTTAGCAAGGAATTGAGCTCATACTGGATCTCGAGCTTGAATCGAGGCAAATGCACTTCAACTTCTCTTTCCACCATGTGGGAAGGGCCGATCCACTCCTGAAGTGCGCGTGCGTTCAGCTGCTTTGCTATCTGAGCAAAAACACAGATGAGCCCGCATGAGCAAAGTACCCGGCCTCTACATTGAACACTGTTGGCTTTCATAATTCTCAGTGTGAACGGGTCAATTTCATTACTTTCTTTTCTGCCTTCGAAACATACTCAAACCTTACCTGTGGAGGGGAGAGCTTCTTGCATTTAAACCCACCCTCACTCTCCCGCTTACGGCTTTGCCTCCATAGCTCATCACAAAGCTCAGGATGATCCCCCAGGTTTTGGCCTTGTGTCCCTCAGCGTGTGTCCCTCACCTGAACTTCTTTCTCTACCGCCCCTGAAGTCAGCACAGGCCCATTTTCAGGAAGAATTCAACTACAGCTTCTTGCTTCTCATTTGGCACCCTCCTTTATGAACTCAACCCTCATGCAACTCCAAGGATGCCAGGTCCCCGTTCCACTCTGACAGCTCCAGTCCCCTGGTGTCCTCCTGCTTTGCCTCTCCCTTCTAAGGAATTTGCAGGTGCTCCTTGCTCTGCTTCACCTGTACATCTTCTGCTCAGCCAGAGAAGGGTCATCCATTGTGTCCTCTAGGGAAACCTTCCCTGAGCTCTTCATTGTAACTCAAGCCATCCCCACGTCCACAGGACTTTCCACAGGGGTTAAATGGCTTCCAAACTGCTTGAAAACGCCCATGGAAAGGTATATTGCCACAAAACTATGCATGATTTTTGAACATTTCTGCACCACAATAAACCATCTTTTTAATTTCATTATCCCTGAAATTTTTGAAGTACCCTCCTATTTTTCCAAATATCGTCCACTCCAGCTGACCACAGGCTCCAGGTCCAGATCCCTTCTGAATTGGTCACACCTGTAAGCACACCTGTTCTCATGGCCATGCCCTGCTTCTCTAACCATAGTTCCCTCCAGATTGGTGTTCCTTTTACTGTCTAATCCCCGGCCAAGGCCTTTCAGGAAGCTCTCCCTGTGCTCACCCACTGGAGCCACATTGTTTTCACCTTAAGAGAAGCATTCCTTGTCTTAGGAACCCTCCAACTGGGGCCACCCCACCTGGGTGTGTGTCAGTTTGTGCAGCCTCCCTAAGAAACCATCTGTCATTCTAGCAGAGTGTTGGGAGGTCCCACTTCGGGGGGGGGGGGGGGGGGGG